AGTTGGCTGAGTCCATGAGTATCTGAAACTGTCTTTATCCTATTCTCACATGGAAAAATAAGTTTGACTGCACAGAGAATTCTAGGTTGAAAACAGTTTTCTTATGAATGTGATAGTCCTTGTCTTTGAATATGCAGTGTTGCTTTTCTGAAAACTAAAAGGAATTCTAATTATCATTTTTTAAATTTTATTTTCCCTTTAGAAGCTCTTATGATTTTCTTTTTTATTTTTATTGTTGGCAATATACAGATGCCTCTCATTCCCCACCCCCACCTTTCCCCTCTCCACCCAGCCTCTGTCCCACCCCAGGCCTTCACCATATCGTTATCTGTGTTCATGGGCTGTGCATATATGCATATATGTTCTTTGATTAATCTCTACTAGTCCCCCCAGGCCCCTCCCCTCTGACATCTGTCAATATGTTCCATGCATCCATGCCAATGGTCGTATTTTGTTCATCAGGTCATTTTTTTCACTAGATTTCACAGATAAGTGAGATCATGTGATATTTGTCTTTCTCTGACTGGCTCATTTCACTTAGCATAATAATCTGAAGGCCCCCTCCATGTTGTTACAAAGAGTAAGAGTTCCTTTTTTTACAGCTGCATGGTATTCCATTGTGTAAATGTACCACAACTCTTTTATCCACTCATCTACTCATGGGTACTTGGGATGTTTCCAGATCTTATAAATTGTGCTGCTATGAACATAGGGGTACATACATTTTTTCTGATGGTGGTTCTGGTTTCTTAGGATATATTGCCGCAAGTGGTATCACTGGGTCAAAAAGCAGTTCCGTTTTTAATTTTTTGAGGATACTCCGTACTGTTTTCTGCAGTGGTTGCACCAGTCTGCATTTCCACCAACAGTGTACTAGAGTTCCTTTTCTCCACATCCTCACCAGCACTTGTCATTTGTTGATTTGTTGATGGTAGCCATTCTGACAGGTGTGAGATGGTACCTTATTGTCATTTTAATTTGTATCTCACTGATGATGGGTGATGTGGAACATTTTTTTCATATGTCTATTGGACATCTGTACGTTTTTGTGTGCGGTGGTGGAACTGTCTTTACTCCATGTATGCTTTTGGCGTCTTTGTCAAATATTAATTGACCATAATGGTGTGGGTTGATTTCTGGGATCTCTGTTCTGTTCCATTGATCTATATGCCTGTTCTTGTGCCAGTACCAGGCTGTTTTGATTACAATTGCTTTGTAGTATAGTGACCCCTCCAACTTTGTTCTTCTTTCTCAAGATTGCTAAGGCTATCTGGGGTCTCTTTTGGTTCCATGTAAATTTTCAGAATATTGGTTCTAGATCTGTGAAATATGCTGTTGGTATTTTAATAGGATTCCATTGAATCTATTCCATTTAGGTAGTATGGACATTTTATAAACGTTAATTCTTCCAATGCATGAATACAGTATATGCTTCCAAAAACTTGTTTGTATCTTCCTTTATTTCTTTTTTCAATATCCATGGTTTTCAAGTTCAGGTCTTTTACCTCCTTTGTTAAATTTATTCCTAGGTACCTTGTTTTTTTATTTGTTTGTTTGTTTTGCAATGGTAAATGGGATTTTTTTTTAGTGTTTTTTTTCCTGAGAGTTCATTATTGGTGTATAAAAATACCACCGATTTCTGGATATTAATTTTGTATCCTGCTACTTTCTGAATTCATTTATTAAATCTAGTAGATTCTTTGGTGGGGTCTTTAGGGTTTTCTATGCACAATATCATGTCATCTGCAAATAATGACAGTTTTGCTTCCTCTTTTCTAAATGAAAGCCTTTTATTTTTTCTTATCTGATTGCTGGCCAGGAAGTCCATCCAGTACTATGTTGAATAAGAGTAGTAAAAGTAGACATCTTTGACTTGTTCCTGATCTTAAGGGAAGCACTTTTAGTTTTTGCCCATTGAGTATGATGTTGACTAGAGGTTTTTCATACACAGCATAGCCTGTATTATGTTAAGTTATGATTCCTCTATTCCCAGTTTGCTGAGAGTTTTTATCATAAATGGGTACTGGATTTTGTTGAATGCCTTTTCTGCATCTATTAATACGATCATGTGATTTTTATCCTTCATTTTGTTTATGATTTGCAAATATTGTACCAACCTTGCTTCCATGGAATAAATCCCACTTGTTTATGGTGTATGATCTGTTTAATGTATTGCTGGATCCGATTTGCTAACATTTTATTGATTACTTTAGCATTTATGTTCATCAGAGATATTGGCCTATAGTTTTCTTTCTGTATAGCATCTTTATCTGGTTTTGGAATTAGGATAATACTGGCCTCATAAAAAAGAGCTTGGAAGTTTTTCTTCCTCTTGAATTTTTGGAACAGTCTGAGGAGGATTAGGATTTTGTATATCCTGTTTTTCTGGTATTTTGCAGCAGTGAGCCTTTCATTCATTTATTGTGCTTGTCACTGAATAGCCTTGATCTGGAGACCTTGCACTTTATTTCTCAAATTTTTAATTATTTCATTTTTTAAAAATATGCTTTTATTCACTGCAGAGAGGAAGAGGGAGGGAGATAGAAACATATGTGAGAGATAATTATTGATTGGCTGCCTCCTGCATGCCCCCCACTGGGGATGGAGCCCACAACCCGGACTTATGCCATTGACCGGAAGCGAACCCAGGACCCGTCAGTCCACAGGCCGATGCTCTATCTACTGAGCCAAACTGACTAGGGCTAAATTATGTCTTGTATAATATTTTCAAAATACTCTGGAAATGTTTTATTTTAGTCAGAGATATTTGTTAGTCAAATAAATATTGCTGATATTTCTTAGCCAAATATTAGACATCTTTGATCAAGTTTTTATTTTTCTACCTTTTCACTCTTTTTGTTCACCCTCTATCTTTTTATTCTACTTTCTGGTGTATTTCATTAGCTTTCTCTCCCACTTTTACAATGCTTTAGGGTTATTTTTAATTACCAATTTCAAACCTGACTTTCCTTTTATGTAAGACATTCTGTATATATGAGTACATTGTCTTTTCTTATTTATCTGAGAATGTTGATTTTAATAATTTGAAATATTCTTGTAGTTCTTTTCTTAAGAAAAATTCTGGTCTTTAATTTGCTGCTGCTGCTGCTCCTCCTTCTTCTCTGTCTCTCTCGCTCATGTTTGAGGACTTCCTACAAAGAGGACTTTAACCAGTTTGTGTTTACACAGATGATGAACAGCTATGTGATATCTGGGTGTTTGACCTCATGTCTTCACATTGGGCGACTGGGCAGCATGCTGGCTTTGGGGGCTTGTGGGCTGTTTGTATGAAGAGTAAGGGCCTCCTAGCATATAAAATGGATCAGGTACTACTAGATGGCATGGTTTTATGTACCTTTTAAACAATAGTGAAAATTTCCACTCTACGCCTGCTATGCACCAAGCCTATAATTAACAGACTTGTGTTTTGAATACTCAGATCCTCCTTAGGGTGAATAAAGTACCTGGGATCATTGTACTGATAGAGGAATGGAGACAAAGAATGTAAGTGTAGTCCTATCCGGTTTTGCTCAGTGGATAGAGCATCAGCCTGCAGACTGAAGAGTCCCAGGTTTGATGCTGGTCAAGTCCACTGTACCTCAGTTGCAGGCTCAATCCCCAACCCTGGCCAGGGCATGTGCGGGAGGCAATCAATTGATTTGTCTCTCTCACATCTATGTTTTTCTCTCTCTGTCTCTCCTTCTCCCTTCTACTCTCTCTAAAAATCAATAAAAAGATATCATCAGGTGAGGTATAACAACAAACATAATGTAAGTGCAATGATACTTTGAATGGAGCGGGGCTAATAAATGGGAGAGTCAACATTTATTCTCAGGTCACTAAGCCTCATATCTGCTTTCCTCACTGTCCCCATTAATAAATAGCCAACTCAATAGCTTCAGGATCTCCCAGTCCAACCAGTATAAACAGAAATGTGCCAGTCTATGGGTGAGTAGGGTAACAGGCTCTCAAGTACTCTATGAACTATATAAACTCAAATGAGCCCATTGGCGATATCATGCCTCTCTGCTATGCTATCCCAAAGAGGACAGATCATCTTTTCTCCCACTATGTAGTTCCTTTTCCTAGACTTTGGGATTCCCATATATTACTCTAAAGCAGTGGTTCTCAACCTTCCTAATGCCGCGACCCTTTAATACAGTTCCTCATGTTGTGGTGACCCCCAATTTCATTGTTACAAATTGAACATAATTAAAGCATAGTGATTAATCACAAAAACAATATGTAATTATATATGTGTTTTCCGATGGTCTTAGGCGACCCCTGTGAAAGGGTCGTTCAACCCCCGAAGGGTCGCGACCCACAGGTTGAGAACCGCTGCTATAAAGCAAGTGGACAATTACTTGCCTTCAAACCAGACTTGAATCATTTTCAAGAGGAAAAACTGAATTTCAGAAAAACAGAAAGTTGCCTCCAGGTTGCTAGAAGACAAAATGATGTCCAAAGTCCTGGAGGTTGATTTCTCTTTTCCAGGGCCTATAGAGTGAGACTAAATACAAAAAGCTGTCCCCATTTGTGGCTTAAAGTGTGTCCTACTTAGTGGAAGCTGGTGCTGATTTTTTGTTGGTGGAGAACAATCCCACCAAGATGGTGGGGAGTGGGTCTCATGAGTCAACTTCCTAGACCAAGCTCTTGGTTCCCAGGTCAGGCTCAAGTAAGACCTTTGCATACCAGGTGTGTGTTTGTGTGTGTATGTTTTGTTAACATATATTAACAAATATATTTACTATATATATAGTTACTCAAAAGTTGTTTAATTTTTGTTTTTAATTACAGAGAATATTCAATATTACGAGTTTCAGGTGTATAGAATAGTGATTAGATATTTATATAACTTACAAAGTGATCCCCTCCATAGGTATAGTCCTCACCTGGCATCATACATACTTATTAAATATTATTTTGTATATTCTCAATGCTGTACTTTACATCCATGTGGATATATTCTTATGAAAGCCTTTCATCTATTTTCTTTGCAGAAAAGCCAAAGTCTGCTCGCCGGTACTGCACAAACTTTAGTCCGGAACAAACTTTAGCTGAGAATACTGAAAGACACATTTGAAAAGACCGTGTACCCAAGTGGGAATACCCTGGCAGAGCTTGTTTCAGCCACTCAACTTGATGAGCTAGTATTACAGGTGGGTCCCTAAGAGTGTCTCTAGATAGCACGCCTAGTCCAAAGCTTTACACACACTTTTAACCATCATAGAATCCCTATTTATAATTGAATAATTGCTATGTGTCAGGACAGGTGTTAAGCACTTTATATTTTTATTCTCATGACCACCCATTTTATTGGAAAACACTAAAGCTCACAGGGAGGAATGTCTTCCAAGGATTATAAACACAAGAGGAAGAATTTGAATCCAGGTCTTTCTGGCTGCAGACCCACAGTAGTACAGCAGACCTTTTGAGAATGTATCTCAGATACTCACTTTGGGGTCTGTTCCTGTTTATTTTTAGGTTCTTCTCAATCAGGACATTTGCAATTACATATATATGCCTCTCAGAGACAGTAAGAGCACTGCTATACTCACTGATTAGCCAATGAAAAGGGTATACACACTACGCCAATTACCATGTTTCTCTTTTATTAGTGTAGATAATTGCTATGTGTCAGGACAGGTGTTAAGCACTTTATATTTTTATTCTCATGACCACCCATTTTATTGGAAAACACTAAAGCTCACAGGGAGGAATGTCTTCCAAGGATTATAAACACAAGAGGAAGAATTTGAATCCAGGTCTTTCTGGCTGCAGACCCACAGTAGTACAGCAGACCTTTTGAGAATGTATCTCAGATACTCACTTTGGGGTCTGTTCCTGTTTATTTTTAGGTTCTTCTCAATCAGGACATTTGCAATTACATATATATGCCTCTCAGAGACAGTAAGAGCACTGCTCAGCACTGCTGCTCTGAGTTGTTCTGAGTCCATATATTCTTCTAAAATTCTTCCCGATTACGCCAAGGCTGGCTCTTCCTCGAATCCTGCCCACTGTAGTAACTGTTGGCAACGTAGTCCAAGTTCCTCCTTTATCCTCTGCTCACTAGTTGAGGTGTCGGGTCTGAGCCCCCCTGCCTAGGGACTGAACCTCCTATTACAGCAGGTCTTAGACGGAGAAGCCATGAGAAGTTGTGGGGGTGTAAGAATGAGTCTTTATTGTAGAAGCCGGTGGCCACATAGCCGTCAGACAAAACAGTTCTTTACAGCAAAGTCCATACAGGCAGCCGGCCAGACACTGGCTGGTGAACATGTCATCTTTCCCACAAAGCAGCATTAGTCTCTGTACCCACAGCTATTATCTGGGCAGCCCCAAGCTGCCTCCTAAACTCACTGCTTCACATCGTAGCAGTACCTAAGCTCTCTGCTTCAGCAGCTTCTCTGGCCTCTCTGACCCAGCAGTTTCTCCTGTCTCCCCTGCCCAGCACACTGGCTGGTCTCTGTAGCCTCACATAGTAACTACCTCTGAGCTTCTCTCCCAGCACACAGGCTAGTTAACATGGTAGCTCTATCTGAGCTCTCTGTGAGCTCTTACCTTACATCATAGCAGTTTCAGCTCTCAGCTCCGTCTGAGCTCTCCTCTCTCCTGCACACATAGGAGCTACATTCTCTGTGCCTACCACCTCTGCTTCTCTGAGCTCTCTCTCCTCTCTCTGGTCAGTAACCTGTATATTACTCCAGAGACAAAGAAGGCTAGCTGCCAACAGTGACATCAATCATTTGGGTTACAGAAGGGCACAGTGTACTGTGAGATCCCTGTGGCCTTGCAGCTGTGTATGGTATCTTGGCCTTGGGCACCCCGATTAGGCTCATGCTTAGAGCAGCCTTGGCCATTCTGGTGTATTGACAACAAGGCCTCTGTGCTCTCATTGGCTTTGACTATCCAGGAACCCTGATGTGGTTCCCACAATGCCTTGCCACAGAAGATTCAGGGTGTAAAAATCCCTAGATGACCCCGATGGTACCCCAAGCTAGCTTCCCACTCCATATTCTCATAGTTAACAATCCTCTCTCAGAAAACCCAGAGCATCCAGCAAGACAGAACCCCTTTCTGTAACACCTCCTAATCTAGAGTGCTGTGTACTATTCTATGTATGTTTAGCACAATCTCATATTCCCTTTGCCCTCCAAACCCTGGGCCACCAGGAGATAGAGGACATCCCTTATTCAGCTAAATATGAAGAAATGTGAGACTAGCTTTTGCACACCAAAGCAACCTAACTCCTGAGGAGCGTGTAGGATTCCCCTTTGAACCCATCCCCCTTTATTAACCAGCTTACCTGCTCTTTTCCCAGAGTTGGTTCAAGAACCAGCGTGTCAAAAGGAGGAAACAGCTGCTACAGTGTCAGCCTAGTGTGGCACTAGAAGCACAAAACCAAACCATTTCAGTGAAGGAGGAGGAGACTCCTTTATCTGTACCTTCTACAAACACTCATCCCCTGAGTCCCAGCATTGTGAATGCTTATGACCATGAACTCCCTAAGACTTCTAATATCAAGCAATCTGGAGGGACTAGTGCCTCTGTGTGGAATGTATCATGGGATTCTCAGCCTCATGACCTTCAACAGCTATGTCTGAGTGTCTCTGATCCTTCTTGGGCCTCCAATCCCTCTGACATAGATCAGTTTATACAACTACTAGTGGCCCGGTGCACAAAATTCATGCACGGGGTGGGGGGGAAGAGGAGAGGGAGGGGTGTCCCTCAGCCCGGCCTGCACCCTCTCCAATCTGGGTTCCCTCAGGAGATGTCCGACTGCTGGTTTACCTGATCCCTGTGGGATCGGGCCTAAACTGGCTGTCGGATATCCCTCTCGCAATCTGAGACCACTGGCTCCTAACTGCTCACCTGTCTGCCTGCTTAATCACCCCTAACCACTCTGCCTGCTGGCCTGCTCACCCCTAACCCCTCTGCATCCTGCCTGATCACCCTAACCACTCTACCTGCCTGCCTCATCATGCCTAACCACTCACCTGCCTGCCTGATCGCCTCTAACCACTCTGCCTGCCTGCCTGATCGCCCCTAACCACTCACCTGCCTGCCTGATCGCCCCTAACCCCTCTGCCTGCCTGCCTGAT